AACACCGGTACAAACATCCAATGTTACAACCAACACCGGTACAAACATCCAATGTTACAACCAACACCGGTACAAACATCCAATGTTACAACCAACACCGGTACAAACATCTAGTGTTACAACCAACACCGGTACAAACATCCAATGTTACAACCAACACCGGTACAAACATCCAATGTTACAACCAACACCGGTACAAACATCCAATGTTACAACCAACACCGGTACAAACATCCAATGTTACAACCAACACCGGTACAAACATCCAATGTTACAACCAACACCGGTACAAACATCCAATGTTACAACCAACACCGGTACAAACATCCAATCCAATGTTACAACCAACACCGGTACAAACGTCCAATGTTACAACCAACACCGGTACAAACATCTAGTGTTACAACCAACACCGGTACAAACATCCAATGTTACAACCAACACCGGTACAAACATCCAATGTTACAACCAACACCGGTACAAACATCTAGTGTTACAACCAACACCGGTACAAACATCCAATGTTACAACCAACACCGGTACAAACATCCAATGTTACAACCAACACCGGTACAAACATCTAGTGTTACAACCAACACCGGTACAAACATCCAATGTTACAACCAACACCGGTACAAACATCCAATGTTACAACCAACACCGGTACAAACATCCAATGTTACAACCAACACCGGTACAAACATCTAGTGTTACAACCAACACCGGTACAAACATCCAATGTTACAACCAACACCGGTAATGTTAAACACCAATGTTACAACCAACACCGGTACAAACATCCAATGTTACAACCAACACCGGTACAAACATCCAATGTTACAACCAACACCGGTACAAACATCTAGTGTTACAACCAACACCGGTACAAACATCCAATGTTACAACCAACACCGGTACAAACATCCAATGTTACAACCAACACCGGTACAAACAGTGTTCCAATGTTACAACCAACACCGGTACAAACATCCAATGTTACAACCAACACCGGTACAAACATCCAATGTTACAACCAACACCGGTACAAACATCCAATGTTACAACCAACACCGGTACAAACATCCAATGTTACAACCAACACCGGTACAAACATCCAATGTTACAACCAACACCGGTACAAACATCCAATGTTACAACCAACACCGGTACAAACATCCAATGTTACAACCAACACCGGTACAAACATCCAATGTTACAACCAACATCGGTACAAACATCCAATGTTACAACCAACACCGGTACAAACATCCAATGTTACAACCAACACCGGTACAAACATCCAATGTTACAACCAACACCGGTACAAACATCCAATGTTACAACCAACACCGGTACAAACATCCAATGTTACAACCAACACCGGTACAAACATCCAATGTTACAACCAACACCGGTACAAACATCCAATGTTACAACCAACACCGGTACAAACATCCAATGTTACAACCAACACCGGTACAAACATCCAATGTTACAACCAACACTAGAACCAGCATGCAATGTTACAACCAACACCGGTACAAACATCCAATGTTACAACCAACACTAGAACCAGCATGCAATGTTACAACCAACACCGGTACAAACATCCAATGTTACAACCAACACCGGTACAAACATCCAATGTTACAACCAACACCGGTACAAACATCCAATGTTACAACCAACACCGGTACAAACATCCAATGTTACAACCAACACCGGTACAAACATCCAATGTTACAACCAACACCGGTACAAACATCCAATGTTACAACCAACACCGGTACAAACATCCAATGTTACAACCAACACCGATACAAACATCCGGTACAAACAACACCGGTACAAACATCCAATGTTACAACCAACACCGGTACAAACATCCAATGTTACAACCAACACCGGTACAAACATCCAATGTTACAACCAACACCGGTACAAACATCTAGTGTTACAACCAACACCGGTACAAACATCCAATGTTACAACCAACACTGGTACAAACATCCAATGTTACAACAAACACCGGTACAAACATCTAGTGTTACAACCAACACCGGTACAAACATCCAGTATTACAACCAACACCGGTACAAACATCCAATGTTACAACCAACACCGGTACAAACATCCAATGTTACAACCAACACCGGTACAAACATCCAATGTTACAACCAACACCGGTACAAACATCCAATGTTACAACCAACACCGGTACAAACATCCAATGTTACAACCAACACCAGTACAAACATCCAATGTTACAACCAACACCAGTACAAACATCTAGTGTTACAACCAACACCGGTACAAACATCCAATGTTACAACCAACACCGGTACAAACATCCAATGTTACAACCAACACCGGTACAAACATCCAATGTTACAACCAACACTGGTACAAACATCTAGTGTTACAACCAACACCGGTACAAACATCCAATGTTACAACCAACACCGGTACAAACATCCAATGTTGACGTTACAAAAGCCTCTCACACACAATCACTTGATATGGACCAATCACCAAGACCCCCTTTTTCATGTTAAAAGAATACTTATAACTGTGTAATTGATACAATATAGCAGAATGTCACATGATTAGAGAGTTCGATCTTTGTCCATTGTAGGCGGGGCTGGATAAAAGCGCGATGATGAAGAGGATCAATTTAGTGTTGTTTCAATCAGGGTTTTTTTATTCAGCGTTTTGAAGTGTTGGTTTTAATCTGGTTTATATATGATTTGTAAACATGTACTTGGTGTCAGACAACACAGAATTGTTTTCTTTAAAGAAAAGTCCTTGTTATATTTGTATCATACTGATACATTGTAAGTCGTAAAATGATAACGGCATGTAATTAAATTGATATGACGGTTTGCAATGTGGGCTCATAGGAGATATACTTTAATTATTGTTATGTGGTTCAAAGCATTGACAGCTTATAGTACTCTCACCGGTTATGTATTTCTAAACCCGCGATAATGTAGAGAATCACCGTCAAATTAAAGAAACGTTTTCCAATGACACCGACAATTCAGACTGTATTTGAAATTAAAATAATAGTAACGATAATTACACATATGTAATTTCATGCAATGCTAATCTCGTTTTCAAAATATTTCATCGTTCTCTTTATAAAATGAAAGACATACATTTGTTCAATACTTCTAATGTTAATCAGTTGTAATTCAGATACCGATGTCCGTGTATTACCTGCTGGTTATCTCTGTAGGCCGACAGGTCTACCAGTGTACAGGTCACGTGATAGGTGTTGTCCTAGGTGTGGCACATTTAGGTCGATCGCTGCTGGAGGTCGTCGATGATTTAAGACACCTTACGTTTAACACCAGTCACAGCTGTACCTGTATTTCCTAGATCTAATAAGGCTTTATTTCGTACGCAAAATTACCTGAATATTTTATTGCAAGGTAACAGCAACGATATTGGAAAATATGAACATCATTTACATGTAAAATGAAATATAAAATTGAGACGTATAGGTTTCTGTAATAACCTGGCATACAGGTATATGAAATGGTTATATATCAAGCGAGAAAAGCTAATTGATGAAAATAAATTGATTCCTAGTTTTTGTGTACGTGGAAATTGACGGAATTCATATTTTAATGGTCAATTTATGTCTTTCTCAGTGTCTGTTTAGACTTGTGATTGATAAAGATATCGGGATAAAATGATTGTAAAAGAGCTTTATTCACATGTAAAACAAAATATGAATATAAAATTGAGACCAATAGGGTTCCTTAAATAACCTGACATACAGGTTGTGTTGGTGAGGTTTTGATATTGAAGATGTTGTGTTGAAGTTGTGATGATGAGGATGTAGTGATGAGAATGTAATGCTGATGATGTAGTGATGAGGATGCTTCAGACAAAAGTGGGTCAGGATCATGAGAATATTTTATTACTTGGCACTTCCTCTCTTGCCCCAAGGGGCCGAGACCCACCGTTTATACAAAGTTGATTCCTTCACTCAAGGATGTTTCACACCAAAATGGCACAGAATCCAGGCATTCCTTCAGATGAATGCTTTAAGAATTTGAAAATTGAGTTCCCTTTACCAAGCATGATTTTGACCAAATTTGGTCAAAGTCCACTCAGCTGTTCATGACTAATAACGTTTTACATAAACGTTTGGACAACGGACGGATGACCACAGTATGGCATTAGCTCACCTTTTTCCCAACCAATTAAAATATCAATTAAAGAAATCCCAGGTGGTTCTTACGTATCAACCAACATCTGCTATCTTTATTTGTTCTTTTCATATTAAAAAAAGTTCGACCTGCCCCTCCACCTACCTCTTTCCAAAATTCAAATGACACAGTTTTGGTGCTAACAGAATCTACATATCAGACGAGAGAAAGACCCGTCCAATACCTCTCAAGAAATAGCGATAACAAGAAGTGTTAAATGATACGTGGCAGACCACCAACTGACGTTAGACTACACATTGCACGTGACCAGATTTAACTAACTGTCTGTGAGTGAGGTAATTACGTTTCAAATTTTTCCTGATATCTAAGAGTTATAGAGTCAATATCAAAATCCTTAATATAGTTCAAGATATAGGTTGGTGAAAATCATTCTTTGTTTCGCCATTAATGGTTGATTTTTAATGCGAAATTAGTGACAATTATAGATAAATTCGTTTATGTGATACATTTCTGAAAGAATATATTGTAATTGAGAAACGCGCTTAATACATATATTCTATATATACATAAATCATACGATATAAAGTTATGCGTCGTGTTTATACTTGATGTGAATTAGACTGACTGATTTTTTCCCCAAATTTCGGGGCTATACTTGCATATTCTTTAGTTGAAAGTAAAATGTTTCAGAGATCCGGAATAGATGCGGCCAATTCTTTTGCTATAGTTTACTTTCGCTTTAAGCAAGCATTTTCCTCACCAAGATTTTTGGCAACACGCTTGGACTTACGGTACAGATGTGATAATATGGATTTGTGTAACCGATATTTGTAACGAAGTAACCAATTCTCCCCTAATTGTTTGTCGATAAGTTAATGGCATCAAATATATTTGGTTTTAAAATAGAAACCCTTTCTATCATATATACCTCACCGACACCGTCAACATTGAATGGATGGTTATGACGAAATTGGCAAGTGGTGTATAGCCTTTTATAGGCATGTTTTGTATTGATAAATGTCATTGTTATATTGCACTTTTTGTGATACATGTGATATTGTCGATCTTGCGACAATGGCTACGTTACTTGACCTAAACTCGTCAGCTCGGAAACACGCACAGAGCTTTAGTCGATGCTCAGATGTTCATTGTATTTTCATATTATAACGATATTTTGACCTCGGGTTCCAGGTGATAAATTGTCTGTAAAAACCAAGAAAACTGTGGTTGTATAGGAGAAATCCTGTTCACAAATGAAGACTTCAAATATGACTCGTTTTCAGGAGAAGCTAGATGAGCAATAAAGTCTATGCATTTCAAAGTACATGTACAGTTGATAGATAAAAATGTATATTTTTTCCAGAATCTGTTAAATTATGTACATATATTTTCTTTAATAGCATATATATGCATTCATTGATTTAGATACCTATAGCTAAGGCCATGATATATTCATCATATATACTCTTTTACATGTCAATGTAATTTTTCTGTCATCATCTGGAAAATACTGTAGTTCAAAATACCTGCGCAGCCAAAGCCGGGTTAACATCATGCATATTGTAAGTACATTGTATATGAAAAAATCCTGCTTTACCCATCATGACATCATGGCAATTATATGCATATACATGCATCAGTATCGCTTCCAGGGAACACTGGCCAGAAAATTGTTTTTCAGTTTTATTGCTTTTTGCTTTTGCAGTTGACTAACTCAGTGCCAGTTTATCCATGCTTTTGTAGAGGTAAAACTCCCTGGTGTCAGGATGGAGAATTATACTAAAGGAGAGGTACTTGAGGTCTCCATGGATGTACCATTTCCCCTGGACAGTTCTAGAGTGGAGATGAAAGTTACAGTGGGCAGCAAGCTTAGGAATCTACTTGGATATTCCATGAAAAAAATAAAGGTGAAAATAGATCAAGAATCAAAACCTATATGTCTTCACTAAAGTTCACTGTACCCACGTACAATAACAAAATCGTATGATATGGTTGGTCACCACCGGACCACTTACTCAAAGTCCAGGGATGGGGTCAGATCCTTACTACAGGACAATGAAATAGCTTTAGTTTGTATACAAAATAACAGCCATATATGAGTGTGCTTAGTTACAATTGTATATTACTTGACATGGGCTTATTTACAGAATGTAAATATCACTCCACCTTTGGGGTCATGCAGATCTTAAAACTGTTATGAAAGCTTGCACATCCTCATAGATAAGACCATAGATGTTGCGTGTAAAGAGGTACCACTTTGGTGGTACTTCAGGGCTGAAAATTGTCGTAACTTTGCCCTGACGAGCCGTAACTGGCTAAACCTGTCATCAAGAATAAACGTTTATAAATTTACTAATCTTGTTAAGCTGGTCGATGTTGAATTCACTCGTCTGTGATATTCATCTTCATAAACAAAAACACTGTACACCACAATTTGGTGAACTCTAACTTGTTAAGGTGATGATTTGTAGATTTACATAGGTTTTGTAATCTTCAGAGGGCAAATACAAGTGTAGTAATTGATAAATTTTGTGTTAGAAATATTTGAAATGAACAACTGTAAGACTATTCTATTTAATGGTGATATCTGTAGATAATGAACTGAAACCCCAATGAAGATAACATGTACAGGAAAGCACTTTTCAAGTCATGATCACTCTTCTATATAAGTAAATAGAAATTAACATATATTTTCACTGATATCTTTAAACAGAATCTATTTATTTTTTTCAAATATGTAATTGCAAATTCATAATGATGTTTTTGGCCTGACCAGATGAGATGAAATATCTTTTCTGAAAAAGGTGTATATAACTCATTTGTGAATGTTTGATAGGAAACTGTCTGTTAAATCAGAGATAGGAAACTGTCTGTTAAATCAGAGATAGGAAACTGTCTGTTAAATCAGAGAATAGTTTGACTGATTTTAAATTTGTTGATATGAAAATCTTGGAAGAGTCTTGAAACTTAAAAGAGTGAAACAAAAGTGAACCACTTTGATTTATGAGAGCCTAGTTTTCTTATCATTTAAACATCAGTAATACTTATGGGATTTTTTCAAGCAAGTCCAGAACATAATTTCTAAAATTTTAATGAGTGGGTTGGGAAACAGGATTGTTCCTCTACATGTGCTTGTGATCTCAAAAGTATGCATGATTCCAATAGGAAAAGCATGAATCCAGGACTTAAATATCTTGGTCAAAAAATCATTGGACTTATCAAATATGTATATTTTGTATAAATTAAAGAGCCAATGAGAATTTCAAACTTAATTAATAATCATTTCTTTACTAGTTATGGTGTTTTATTGTTAAATGTGATTTTTTGTTCCAGGAACCTGAAGTTAAACAGATGACCTGGAATGCTTCAGGACAGGCAATAGGAAAAGCAATATCGTGTGCAGAGATTATGAAAAGGAAAAATAAAGTAAATAGATTTATTCAAACGGCTTCATGATACATTGGTCGATGTGCCTACAAATCAGATACCCAGTATATAAACAAAGATGAAGCAAATATTTATCAATTAAAACATGTATGAAGTACTATCTAGATATCGAAACGTAGGGAATGAAATTAAGATTGAGAAATGATTTTTTGTGGAGTAAGCTTATAAATGTACATTTATATACTCTGAACAACAGTTTGCACAATCTCATTTTCAACATCTTAATTTTACAAATTATTAAAAATTCTAAGACACCGTCTTCAATAAATTTGATTTTCTTAACTACCAGCATCATGAAATGGATATATGTCTTTGCTTTATGGATCTACTTGCTTATAAACAGTGTGTTGACAATGTCCAGTCTTTGCCCACAAGTTTTAACTTCTCTTGATTCTCTGAAGAAGTGAAACCTATGTACCTTGTTGTTTTCTAGTGATGATTTGAAAAAATCACAATATTTAATCCTTTGAGACAAATTTGCTCCCCGTTAGAGTTAAAAACTTTGACCACGTCTGCCCTGTCCTGATTCGATGTAATCACCAATCAGCTCCCTTCTTTGACAAATTTTGCCCAAACTTATGCAAAGATCAAGAATGAGTAGACTTTAGACATTGCTGTGTTTCAGGGGGTCAAGGTCGAGGCCTTGGTGGCGGGGACATTTATGTCTCACCAACTTTTTGTACATGGATGTGATTTGTATTATAACACTTGTATCATTCCTTTTTAGGCTAAACATACTCAGTACGCATAGCCTATTGCGAAGGCCTTTCAGACAAAATTGACCGATCCTGGCCTTCTCATTGGCTGAAATATCGAAAAGAGTTAGAGCCCTCTAGCGGCAATTTTCTGCGTAAATAATGCCGCGATTTTTCAAATCACTATTTTACAAGCATCCAAAACTAGTTTATTTTTTAATAACAATACGATTACTATATATTTCAAAAAAGAAGTACAGTGTGGTTGAACTATTAATAAATTTTGAACAATATATTTTACAGAATTCTCGACATGACGTAAGCGTACAGAACACTGTATGTGCGAGTTGGCGCCAAGATAAGAAGCTACTCTGGGGGCTTGGTTTGAATTATCAACTAACAGCACTTACAAACAAACAAAACTTACAAACAGAACATCAATTTTGCTTTAATCTTTGTCATTGTGGCAAGATCTTCTTAATATATAACATCACTTTACCTCATTAGACGTCACAAAATTTGACTGTTCGTCCTACGCGCACACCTGCCGATATGACACTTTTTCAGGATTTTCACACCCACTGCCATGACACTTTTTCAAGTTTTTGAAGATAAAAAGTTTGCACTTCGTGGGCAAGGTACATTTGGTGCTCATGATTTATGAATAATATATTTTTAATACTGTACTGATCATGATGTTGACTTTGTTATAACTTATATTTTCTTTTTACAGTCACTACATCAGATTACAAAGCTTATGAACCGAAGGTAATTTGTCATTTCCCAACATATTGTAATTGTCATTTAAGAAAATTCAACTAAGATATATCTTTCTGAGAAATATCAAAATTCCAAACTACTATACTTACCTTGTTTATGAAATGTAGATTTAAGTCATGTAGTAATAGTGTTATTTTTACTATGGTAAGTTCAGTAACGTTACAGTAATTGGCTGAAAAAATATTTATCAATACTTATTGAGAAAAAGTAGAGGACAAATCAAAACAATCTTAAGTGATAAAACAAGAATGTCTGGGTTTTTTGTTGTTGTTTGTTTTGTAAAGTTTTTTTTGTGAAGAATTTTCAATGTTAGATTTAATAAACTTTGTGTTCCTGTGTGTAATTATATTTACACTGATTGTACTGTTGAAATGCATCAAAGATATTGATTTCCAATAATGAGCATGGTGTCATTGTCCCTCTTTGTCTTTTTGTTTTCTATTCTAGGTTAATGGATTAAGAACTCTGAATTTATTTGCATTTCACATTCTTTAAACATGCAGTGGGCTTTTTGTAAAACTTTTACAGGAAGATGCTAGTACTGTAAAATCATGTTTTTTTTTTGTGGGGCTCAATTTTTGTGGTTCTCAAATCATGTCTTTTTTCTGGCACTTGATTTCATGAATAAAAATACAGGTAGGTCATTAAACCAATTAAACAGTCATGGACATAGAAATTCCTGGATTAAGAGTTCCCACTAAATCAACGAAAATCAAGGATTTTACAGGATGTTATGAAGCGTACAGTAATGTAGGCCTTACTACCTTTTCTATTGTCCTATATTTACCCTAATTATAAGGCAATAAGCATATGCCTAGTAATACTAATTGTAGTTTCATTAGGAACAGCAATAAATACTATAAATTTATCATTGTCCTGAAACAAGGATAGGATACCCTCCAACTTTCAGTTGTGAGATTTGGTGTTAACTCCTTAGGCTTATTTTTGGATTAAAACGATCATATTTAATATGTAATGAATTTCCAAGCAAAAACTATCTTATATATGATTTAGTGCAAACTGTATGTGTAAACTTTTAACTTTCCGTGTTTTATTCTGAATTCTATAAAATAATATATCATGTTTGTTTTTATTAGAGTGGAAGAATACTGGGAACCAAAGCTTGAGGGCCTTGACAGGTAAGTTGTTCACGTACATCTTAATGAGATGGTTTAAGGGTAGTTATGTTCTTGTCAATCTATTTGTATCAGTTCAGCTGAGTGTCTGTATCCGACGTTAAAAAATACTGAGTTTTATTTTATTGTTAGTTGAATTGGTAACCTCTCAGTAAATGTTGTATTTGGTGGCTGTGGTGGGATTATGACTTTACCTCAACTTTTATTTAAAGAACTTTGAAAAAATACAAGAATATCATGTGCTTGAGTATAATCCAAAATTAGAAAAATACAGGTGCATTGAATAGTTAATCAATGAAATGAAATAATGTACTGCGATTCCAGACTCAAGGTGAACAGAGACATTCCTGCTATCTGTATTCTTCTGTCCAAAGACCAACTGGACACAACTGATCCAGGGTAGGCATTTCATTTGATACTGTAAAATTGTCAATGTTTGTGGGCTTTTATTTTTGAAGTACTGTCAATCAAAAAAAAACCATGTAGTACATGAAGTATGTCAACAAAATTGATAAACAATTAAAATTGTGACACAAGTATCTTTATTGGATGTTTATATGTCAAGTACCTTTCCCCAGTATCAAGTGATGGTGAAATAGTTGTTGTCCACTGGAAATCATAAAATCAAAATGGCCAATAATCGTTAAAATGATTTAATACTGAAAAGTTTTTATATTGATTCTGTTCTGTATTTCATATCCTTACTATGTTCTATCCTGTTAACCAATGATGAGCAGTAAACTTGTATATAAACATGTTGATGTGGGTTTGTTGTAGGTACCAGGCTCCTGGATCTCTAGGTTCATTATGGACATCATCATCACAACAAGATAGTGCAACATCACACAAACATGGAAGGGATTCTGGTCAGCCAGGATCAGCGACTGCCAAACGCCAACGAAAAGGCAAAAATCAGAAAGACAACAAAAACAAAACCGGAGACAGAGGTGATAAAACGTGAATACAAATAGATACGATTGGAAACATTTCTTATTCATGGACATGTCATTACCTGAAGAAAATGCTTAAAAGAATTCAGGACAATACCACTGTTAGATTCAGTGCTGAGAAAATGAGACATTGGAAAATGGAAATTTTAATCTATAATGGACACAGAAATCCATTCCTTCAGCACATTGTATCACACACATTATATCTGTCTTCCAGATTATGATGAAGGGATGATATTCCTTAGTTCGGTTTGTTCTAGCGGAGATGTTGTGTTGGATTTTTTAACAATCCCAAGTTTTCTCCTATGTGATTAAAGATGCATGTTTTAAGATGCAATACATTTGTTGAATACTGTTTTGTAATGACTTTTTGCAGTTATTAAAGGAAATTGTGCATATGTTGAGAGTTGTTCTGAGAACATTTAATATGTTATATAACACTCTTCTGATAAATGTTATCACTTATCACTGTGGTTGAAGTCGGCCTCTTTTGACAACCCAGAAGTCGGCACCTATGTCTTAAGAATTGGTATACCACTGGAATCTTACAGTCTTAATCATGAAATTAAAATTATCAAAACAGACTTATGAATAAAGAAATAGTTTAATTCCTAGTCACATTTTATAAACATCTTTATATTATAAACATTAAAACAATTTAAACAGACAAGCAATAACTACTAGAGATGGTCATTTATAATCTTGTACATACACACATCAACTGACAAAAAGTGTTTGTTTTACTGTGATGTTAAAAACTGTTGGAGGACTTAAAATAATAACTAGTAGTTTGTCAGAATTTGAAGATCTTAACCATTTTTTTAGACAGAAAATTTGATTGTTGATGACAATTTTTTAAAACTGAAAAAGCATATTATACATTTACGATGCACATTAATATTCGGTGCATGCTTTCAAGTTAATTTGCTTAAATTTATAGAGCACAATTACTGAAAACTGTCATCCCAATCACAGGATGCTGCTTCCAAGTCAATCACTCTTGAAGGTGTTAAGAGGCATTAAGTGTTGTTAAGTTGGTAACTAGAAATGTCTGCCTCAATCATAAAGCTGAACCACATGATAATTCAGTTGTCTCCTCTTCAATACCAGAAGCTTGATCTGTTTCTGTAGTATCTGGAGTATTAGATCCACTCTGTAAATTCTGAGTTGTCTGCCCATGATCACCAGTGACCCTGGCATGTGAACTGTCTGGTTTTGTGTATTTACACTGGATCCAGACTCGATACATCTTAAGCTGTCTTCCTCTGTTAACCTGTAGTCGTCTGTCTATGTAGTTCTGTTTCTCTTTTAACCCAGCCTTTGTGAACATGTCTTTTAATTCATCTGAAACCAGATCGAGACAAATATGAAAATTGGTTGTACAATATCCACTATATATCTGATTGTATTTGAGTTTAATTTGATACCAAAATTTGGTTCCTAGACCCCTCGTGTGGGTAACACATGCAGGGAAATTGAAAGACGCAAAGTTTGCAGAGATCAATCGCAACAGGTGATGAGGCCAGGTTTACAAAGTTATTGTTGTAAAATTGTTAATTTTTGTGAGGGATCTATCTTCATGAAGTACATGGATTCTCTTCATCCATCAATTTATATGTCCTTGAAATGATTTTACAGATAAAGATTTAGATGGATTATAGTATTACTGGATTTTGAGAGCAAGATAAATATGTAAAACCCAGTGCTTATGAAAACGTAATTATATAGTATTTTTCAAAACCAAGAAAATTGAGTCTCATGAATATATATGATTATACAGTAACTAATAGGCTGGTTTTACCCTCCTACAGGGCTTTCCTGGGGCAGGTTCCCAATAAGGGGGCATAAAATATATGATTATACAGTAACTAATAGGCTGGTTTTACCCTCCTACAGGGCTTTCCTGGGGCAGGTTCCCAATAAGAGGGCAGTAAATATATGATTATACAGTAACTAGTAGGCTGGTTTTACCCTCATACAGGGCTTTCCTGGGGCAGGACCCCAATAAGAGGGCAAAAAATATATGATTATACAGTAACTAGTAGGCTGGTTTTACCCTCCTACAGGGCTTTCTTGGGGCAGGTTCCCAATAAGAGGGCAAAAATGGTTAACTAACTAACAAACCCAGCCTCATCTTATGTTGTGATTATTCTTTAATCATTGTGAGATGAATGGGGATTTTTTGTATATCTTAACTGTTTTGTTAAATACTAAACCAAATGGATTAACATAGTTTTTCTTAAAATGAGGTTTTAGTCCCTGATGTTGTCCCATAGAAATCAAACATTCTTTCTTACACTGAACTCCATTCCTTTGTGTTTTTACATACTGAAATCACAAACTTATTTGTTAACATATAAGAAAAAAATCTTCATTACAAACTTCATGAGTCAGGAATTGTTCTGTGAATCTGATCCTTAGTATACTTTTAGAAATATATTGAAGATTTTAATAAAACATTTTGATATCTTTCGAATTAAAGGACAAAATCCAAAACTTAATGTGAATATCCTGAGATGAAGCTTGTACAAACTGTTTGTCTACCTTGAGTGAAGAAATACACCCTAGTGCCATCTCCTCGGACATAGAAGTTTTCTGAAAGGCATCTCCCTGTAATAATATAGCAATTATACATTGTACACACAGTTTACATCAAAAGAAAGAGAGAATTTAGCTATTTCATGACAGAAACATACTTTCCCATTTGAAGTAAAAACTGTCCTTGTATAATGCCTCTCATAGGCTGTATTTACCCTACAAGAAAGCCAGCACTTCAATACATCATTTCCTCTCATTTCCAAACTACATGGAGTGAATAAATATTACGGAATAATAAAAAGTACCTGGTGACATTTCTGGTGAGTTATTGAAAATATTGATACTTTCATATTTCCAGCACTGAAAGTTTTAAACAGCTATTAGATCTCTGACGTAAGGAAATAATATTCCATCAAATGATTTTATTTTTTCATTCTGAAGGCAAATTACCTTTTTTAAATCGTAGTTGTGCTAAATCATATCGGCCGTAATCCCGAAACATGATGGTTCCTCCTGGCTTTAGATGTTTGGCTAATTTGTCTATAACGTACTGCATTCTGAAAAAATTAATACAGAGATTTAAATAGTTTTCTGACCCATAATTAACCTCTATCATCCCCTATGTATGTGAGGTGAGTACATGTGTTGAGTGTGACCTCCCTATGTGTGTGAGGTGAGTACATGTGTTGGGTGTCCTTTAAGGATGACCTGTATGTGTGTGAGGTGAGTACATGTGTTGGGTGTCCTTTAAGGATGACCTATATGTATGTGAGGTGAGTACATGTGTTGGGTGTCCTTTAAGGATGACCTATATGTATGTGAGGTGAGTACATGTGTTGAGTGTGACCTCCCTATGTGCGTGAGGTGAGTACATGTGTTGAGTTTGACATCCTATGTGTGTGAGGTGAGTACATGTGTTGGGTGTCCTTTAAGGATGACCTGTATGTGTGTGAGGTGAGTACATGTGTTGGGTGTCCTTTAAGGATGACCTGTATGTGTGTGAGGTGAGTACATGTGTTGGGTGTCCTTTAAGGATGACCTGTATGTGTGTGAGGTGAGTACATGTGTTGGGTGTCCTTTAAGGATGACCTGTATGTGTGTGAGGTGAGTACATGTGTTGGGTGTCCTTTAAGGATGACCTGTATGTGTGTGAGGTGAGTACATGTGTTGGGTGTCCTTTAAGGATGACCTATATGTATGTGAGGTGAGTACATGTGTTGAGTGTCCTTTAAGGATGACTTGTATGTATGTGAGGTGAGTACATGTGTTGGGTGTCCTTTAAGGATGACCTGTATGTGTGTGAGGTGAGTACATGTGTTGAGTGTCCTTTAAGGATGACCTATATGTATGTGAGGTGAGTACATGTGTTGAGTGTGACCTCCCTATGTGTGTGAGGTGAGTACATGTGTTGGGTGTCCTTTAAGGATGACCTGTATGTGTGTGAGGTGAGTACATGTGTTGGGTGTCCTTTAAGGATGACCTGTATGTGTGTGAGGTGAGTACATGTGTTGGGTGTCCTTTAAGGATGACCTGTATGTATGTGAAGTGAGTACATGTGTTGGGTGTCCTTTAAGGATGACCTGTATGTGTGTGAGGTGAGTACATGTGTTGGGTGTCCTTTAAGGATGACCTATATGTGTGTGAGGTGAGTACATGTGTTGGGTGTCCTGTTTAAGGATGACCTGTATGTGTGTGAGGTGAGTACATGTGTTGGGTGTCCTTTAAGGATGACCTGTATGTGTGTGAGGTGAGTACATGTGTTGGGTGTCCTTTAAGGATGACCTGTATGTGTGTGAGGTGAGTACATGTGTTGTATGTGTGTGTCATGTGTTGGGTTTAAGGATGACCTGTATGTGTGTGTGAGGTGAGTACATGTGTTGGGTGTCATTTAAGGATGAGCTGTATGTATGTGAGGTGAGTACATGTGTTGGGTGTCCTTTAAGGATGACCTGTATGTGTGTGAGGTGAGTACTGTATGTGTGTGTGTTGGGTGTCCTTTAAGGATGACCTGTATGTGTGTGAGGTGAGTACATGTGTTGGGTGTCCTTTAAGGATGACCTGTATGTGTGTGAGGTGAGTACATGTGTTGGGTGTCCTTTAAGGATGACCTATATGTGTGTGAGGTGAGTACATGTGTTGGGTGTCCTTTAAGGATGACCTGTATGTGTGTGAGGTGAGTACATGTGTTGGGTGTCCTTTAAGGATGACCTGTATGTGTGTGAGGTGAGTACATGTGTTGGGTGTCCTTTAAGGATGACCTGTATGTCTGTGAGGTGAGTACATGTGTTGGGTGTCCTTTAAGGATGACCTGTATGTGTGTGAGGTGAGTACATGTGTTGGGTGTCCTTTAAGGATGACCTGTATGTGTGTGAGGTGAGTACATGTGTTGGGTGTCCTTTAAGGATGACCTGTATGTGTGTGAGGTGAGTACATGTGTTGGGTGTCCTTTAAGGATGACCTGTATGTGTGTGATGTGTGTGATGTGTGTGAGTACATGTGTTGGGTGTCCTTTAGGAGGTATGACCTGTATGTGTGTGAGGTGAGTACATGTGTTGGGTGTCCTTTAAGGATGACCTGTATGTGTGTGAGGTGAGTACATGTGTTGGGTGTCCTTTAAGGACGACCTATATGTGTGTGAGGTGAGTACATGTGTTGGGTGTCCTTTAAGGACGACCTATATGTGTGTGAGGTGAGTACATGTGTTGGGTGTCCTTTAAGGACGACCTGTATGTGTGTGAGGTGAGTACATGTGTTGGGTGTCCTTTAAGGATGACCTGTATGTGTGTGAGGTGAGTACATGTGTTGGGTGTCCTTTAAGGATGACCTGTATGTGTGTGTGTGATGTGTGTGTACATGTGTTGGGTGTCCTTTAAGGATGACCTGTATGTGTGTGAGGTGAGTACATGTGTTGAGTTTGACCTGTATGTGTGTGAGGTGAGTACATGTGTTGGGTGTCCTTTAAGGATGACCTGTATGTGTGTGAGGTGAGTACATGTGTTGGGTGTCCTTTAAGGATGACCTGTATGTATGTGAGGTGAGTACATGTGTTGGGTGTCCTTTAAGGATGACCTGTATGTGTGTGAGGTGAGTACATGTGTTGGGTGTCCTTTAAGGATGACCTGTATGTGTGTGAGGTGAGTACATGTGTTGGGTGTCTTTTAAGGATGACCTGTATGTGTGTGAGGTGAGTACATGTGTTGGGTGTCCTTTAAGGACGACCTGTATGTGTGTGAGGTGAGTACATGTGTTGGGTGTCCTTTAAGGACGACCTGTATGTGTGTGAGGTGAGTACATGTGTTGGGTGTCCTTTAAGGACGACCTGTATGTGTGTGAGGTGAGTACATGTGTTGGGTGTCCTTTAAGGACGACCTGTATGTGTGTGAGGTGAGTACATGTGTTGGGTGTCCTTTAAGGATGACCTGTATGTGTGTGAGGTGAGTACATGTGTTGGGTGTCCTTTAAGGATGACCTGTATGTGTGTGAGTATGTGTGTGAGTACATGTGTTGGGTGTCCTTTAAGGATGACCTGTATGTGTGTGAGGTGAGTACATGTGTTGGGTGTCCTTTAAGGATGACCTGTATGTGTGTGAGGTGAGTACATGTGTTGGGTGTCCTTTAAGGACGACCTGTATGTGTGTGAGGTGAGTACATGTGTTGGGTGTCCTTTAAGGATGACCTGTATGTGTGTGAGGTGAGTACATGTGTTGAGTGTGACCTCCCTATGTGCGTGAGGTGAGTACATGTGTTGAGTTTGACATCCTATGTATGTGAGGTGAGTACATGTATTGAGTGTGACTTCCCTGTGTGTTTAAGGATGACCTATATGTGTGTGAGGTGAGTACATGTGTTAGGTGTCCTTTAAGGATGACCTATATGTATGTGAGGTGAGTACATGTGTTGAGTGTGACCTCCCTATGTGTGTGAGGTGAGTACATGTGTTGGGTGTCCTTTAAGGATGACCTGTATGTGTGTGAGGTGAGTACATGTGTTGGGTGTCCTTTAAGGATGACCTGTATGTGTGTGAGGTGAGTACATGTGTTGGGTGTCCTTTAAGGATGACCTGTATGTGTGTGAGGTGAGTACATGTGTTGGGTGTCCTTTAAGGATGACCTGTATGTGTGTGAGGTGAGTACATGTGTTGGGTGTCCTTTAAGGATGACCTGTATGTGTGTGAGGTGAGTACATGTGTTGAGTTTGACATCCTATGTGTGTGAGGTGAGTACATGTGTTGAGTGTGACCTCCCTATGTGTGTGAGGTGAGTACATGTGTTGGGTGTCCTTTAAGGATGACCTATATGTATGTGAGGTGAGTACATGTGTTGGGTGTCCTTTAAGGATGACCTGTATGTGTGTGAGGTGAGTACATGTGTTGGGTGTCCTTTAAGGACTATCCCATATGTAAAATAGTATATCATGTGTTATGTCCTTTAAGGTCTGTATGTGTGTGAAAATATCCAAAATGTACCTATTTCAATTTTGCATCTTTTGTTTTTTGCTATTTTACTGTATCAGAAATTCAAAAGGCCTCTTCTGAAGACTTTAGGATGAACATCAGTGTAGATTCTAACATCAGTGTAGATTCTAACATCAGTGTAGATTCTAACATCAGTGTAGATTCTAACATCAGTGTAGATTTACATCAGTGTAGATTCTAACATCAGTGTAGATTCTAACATCAGTGTAGATTCTAACATCAGTGTAGATTCTAACATCAGTTGGAGATCTCACTGACCAGCCATCTAGATAAGAGATTTACATTTTGTATAGTATTTATTTATTACAAGTGTTTGGACAAGAAAGTGCTCGGGTGTATGTAGGTACATCAGCCTGATGTATTACTCATGTGTTTACAATGAAATGAAGAAAAACAAAAATTTTGTGATTTTGAGGTTTGCGATTTCAAAAAGGTCACTACATTTGCAAAAATTGGATACCCGCTAAAAATTCCTGATAGACTAATCAACCTAACCCCAAAACTCAAAAATAAACTACTTCTATCAATGATTTGGTTTCCTGCCTATTACCACTGAGCAAACTATCAGTTAATTGTTTGGGCGGTATCTCTCAACAAAACCTGGAGTGTAACAGATGTTTTACCGGAACAGCCATTATATCTCTTTCTTCCTTTCACAGGGCTCTCGATCTGCCAGATTTGGGGCCGAATTCCCAATACAAAATAGTATCTTTTTTCCCAATTTAGACCCCAAGTTTTCCCAATTCTAAGGAAAACGCCGATATTTTCCCCAATTCTAGGGGCCTGGGCCCCAGTCCCAAAATGGGGTGTGAGAGCCCTGTTTCAATGCTCATTTTCAAAGCAATTAAGTGAGTTATCAACATGTTTCTGCATCTTTAAAACAAAACTTTAAGCACTGAGAAATGAGACCAGTGGAAAATTGTCTTACCTTTACCAATTGTATTGCAGTAGATGAGAAATCACAACAGTAAACCATCAGGTTTGGGTCGTTGTTTGTACGGAGGACGGGAAACACTGTGTTTCCTACCCCACATCCCACCTGTAAGTATTTATCAGACACTATAACAGTGTAATAATGTCTTGTATTAGATTTTAACAAATATTTCACACCAGATCTGGGATTTAAGAGACACATGTATTTTTTTTCATTAGTCTGATATGGAGCATTTTCACTTCATTTTGGGAAGAAAATTGGTGAATTGGAAATGAAATTTTCAACAAGAAATTTCAAATTGGGGAATTTGACTTAATAAGAAATAATTTCACTTGAAAATAGAGGCAATTCTGGATAAAACAACCCTTACATAAAATATCATCGGATTATGAAATCTGGAGTTGGCATAAAAAAACTTATGCCTATATATTGAGTCCCTAAATCTATTGAAAATGTTACATACCTCAAATATTCTAAACTTTGCATTTTGTCCAGGAAAACCAGATTCGTTTTCACATGTGTGTAAATGAGTAATCTTTTGTACAGAAAAGTCCTTCAGTTTGTCACAATTGTCCTTGCTCTGACTGTCAGAGCCACAGGATTGAGAACCTCCTGAAACATCACAGTCACTAACAGGATCTAGATTCAGTCGGTCATTGGTTTCCGAACTCTCCTGATAATGACTAAAACTATCGTTCTTTTGAGAGTCATGTGACACTTCCTGGGAGATGGTAGTTGACTCTGGCGCCAGTTCAGGGAATTCTGTGAAGAGCCAATGCCGATCCTTAAAGAACCTATTGTTGTGCTGACCATAGAATTTGTTCCAGTAGTTGCCAGCATTGTCATCATACTCAGCTGAAAAACAAAGAGAAGGAACTGATGATAATGCTGTTATGATTTTTTCTTGTCATATACATGTATATGTTAATTTCTTGCCTATCGAATTCAACGTTTCAGAATTTCAATCTGTTTTGAGCTGAAAATATTTTAAACAGGCATATTGAATTGCCTGCAATGTCAGGAAACATCCCCTACTGAAATACATGTACAATCATAAATTACAATCTACCCACTGTATTACTTAGATTTGGCAAATACTTTATTTCACAAACTTATCTCTCCAGACACATCCATAAATGTCTTTATAAACGTTGATCTAGAAATGGCTTTAAATTTGCAAATAAAGACTTATTAGAGACATGGACTTTACAAGACTTCTATATCATTAAACAATAGCTTCATATTGGCTGCCATTTTGTTTATGGGAGTCATGTGACTACAACTGAAATTATCAGAATCGAAAAGTAAAATGCTTCTAGCAGTTTTGTTTGTGATTACACAATATGGTATGTATTGTCTACAAAGGCAAGTTATGATAACAATGGTTTCAATATGGATACCAAAGTTGTTATTTTCTTACAAATAATAGCAATCAGGGTTTTCCATAATTTTGTTAGTAGTAGGCTGTGTAATAAACATAGGCGGCTGGCCTGCCGTGTACGTGTAGTCGTGTACGGAACATTATTACGGAACTGGATTGGTGTAGGCGGCCAAATGATCAGAGTAGCCGGTCAAATTGGCCGGCGACCGGCTCTTATGGAAAACCCTGAGCAATGGATTTTAATTCAGACTGGCTCTGAACATGTATTACCGTAAAAATAAATCCCACACAGATAGGTATATGATTTATAGTTCTGTAACTTATTCTATATACAAAAGAAAAACAAGAGGCCCATGGGCCTTAATGGTCATCTGACAAAAAGCAAGCCAAACTCTAACAACAGTGAGTCTGCTATTAAAACAATGGGTCAAGGTCATTCATTTGAACAAACTTGGTAGCCCTTCATTGCAGCATCCTACAGACCCAATATCAGCATTCTGAGCCTTTTGGTTGTTGAAAAGAAGTTGTTTAAAAATTTCAACATATTTGACAGCTGTGACCTTGAAAGTGGGTCGAGGTCATTCATTTGAACAAACTTTGTAGCCTGTCCTCCAAGCATCCTACATGCCCAATATCAGCACTCTTGGACTTTTGCTTATTGAGAAGAAGTTGTTTGTATATTTTAACATATTTGACCCCTGTGACCTTGAAAGTGGGTCAAGGTCATTAATTTGAACACACTTTGTAGGGCTCCATGCCAGCATGCTATGGGCCAAGTATTAGCCCCCTAGGCCTTCTAGTATTTGAGAAGAAGTTTTTTGAATGAAAAGTTTATGGACGGTGGACGACGACGGATGAAGCACGATGGCTATAGGTGATCTCGACCCTTCTGGTCAGATGACCTAAAAAACTGAAACTAAAAACTGAAGCTTAAGTCTATACATTTTGCACACTCTACAAAACACTACAAAATTAAATATAATAAAAATCAAACCATAATACACATAGACTGAAAATTTCTGTCTCTATAATGATAATTTTATGTCAATATTCTTATTTATCATGCTGCTGTTGATATTTACATTTTTATTGACTAACATCTGTAAATGTTCTTTTCTGGTACTATAATACTGTAATATGGACAAAACGAACAATAACTGAATGGTCACCTTGCTGTTCGTCTGACAATTGGTCCTTTAATTGGTGTGAAGTTATCCTCATGGCATCTGATTCCTGTTCATCATCCCACACAACGTTGTCCCTGAAACATAACAAATAGCTGCTTATCCTCACTCCAAATAGATAACTATCTATCATACATCACAATAAAAAGTGATTATCAATACATTTACCAGTTTACTTATCAATATGATTTCTCAACAGGAATCCATTTTATTCCTGAACTAATTGATATGGAAATATTTGCAGTTCACATGTAACCCATACATAGTGGACTAAGCAGTGGTAGGATATCTTTTTAAAAACCAAATCCCAATTTCATAATATGACATCAAGTTATTGGTCTATGGAGATATTTGTATATTTTATATTTTCTTTAGGAAGTGCACTTAAAACAACAAATGACTTGTTTTAATACCCATTGACCATCTAAATCTATACTGGTTTGTATTGTATACCTGTCTGTGCTGATTACCTGTCTGTATTGTAAACCTGTCGGTATTGTTTACCTGTCTGTGCTGATTACCTGTCTGTATTGTTTACCTGTCTGTGCTGATTACCTGTCTGTATTATTTACCTGTCTGTATTGTTTACCTGTCTGTGCTGATTACCTGTCTGTATTGTTTACCTGTCTGTGCTGATTACCTGTCTGTATTGTTTACCTGTCTGTGCTGATTACCTGTCTGTGCTGATTACCTGTCTATATTGTATACCTGTCTGCGCTGATTACCTGTCTGTATTGTATACCTGTCTGCGCTGATTACCTGTCTGTATTGTATACCTGTCTGTGCTGATAACCTGTCTGTATTGTTTACCTGTCTGTGCTGATTACCTGTCTGTATTGTTTACCTATCTGCGCTGATTACCTGTCTGTATTGTATACCTGTCTGTGCTGATTACCTGTCTGTATTTTTTACATTTCTATATTGTATACCTTTCTGTATTGCTTACCTGTCTGTATTGTTTACCTGTCTGTGCTGATTACCTATCTATATTGTATACCTGTATGTGCTGATTACCTGTCTGTATTGTTAACCTGTCTGTATTGTTTACCTGTCTGTGTTGATTACCTGTCTGTATTGTTAACCTGTCTGTATTGTTTACCTGTCTGTGCTGATTACCTGTCTGTATTGTTTACCTGTCTGTGCTGATTACCTGTCTGTATTGTATACCTGTCTGTATTGTTTACCTGTCTGTATTGTTAACCTGTCTGTATTGTTTACCTGTCTGTGCTGATTACCTGTCTGTATTGTTTACCTGTCTGTGCTGATTACCTGTCTGTATTGTTTACCTGTCTGTGCTGATTACCTGTCTGTATTGTTTACCTGTCTGTGCTGATTACCTGTCTGTGCTGATTACCTGTCTATATTGTATACCTGTCTGCGCTGATTACCTGTCTGTATTGTATACCTGTCTACGCTGATTACCTGTCTGTATTGTATACCTGTCTGTGCTGATTACCTGTCTGTATTGTTTACCTGTCTGTGCTGATTACCTGTCTGTATTGTTTACCTGTCTGTGCTGATTACCTGTCTGTATTGTTTACCTGTCTGTGCTGATTACCTGTCTGTATTGTTTACCTGTCTGTGCTGATTACCTGTCTGTGCTGATTACCTGTCTATATTGTATACCTGTCTGCGCTGATTACCTGTCTGTATTGTATACCTGTCTGTGCTGATTACCTGTCTATATTGTATACCTGTCTGCGCTGATTACCTGTCTGTGCTGATTACCTGTCTGTATTGTTTACCTGTCTGTGCTGATTACCTGTCTGTATTGTTAACCTGTCTGTGCTGATTACCTGTCTGTATTGTTTACCTGTCTGTGCTGATTACCTGTCTGTATTGTTTACCTGTCTGTGCTGATTACCTGTCTACATTGACCACCTGTTTCTTCTGATTAATTGTCTGCATTAACTACCATTCTATTCTGATCACCTGTCTGTTTTGACTACCTGTCTACATTGACCACCAGTTTGTACTGAACACTTTATTGCACTGATCACCTGTCTGCACTGACCAGCTGTATTGTTCTGTCTGCACTGACTATATGCTTGCACTGACCATCTGATACTGAACTGACCATCTGATCTGCCTGCACTGACCACCTGTCTGCACTGACCAGCTGTATTGTTCTGTCTGCACTGACTGTATGTTTGTACTGTCTACTTCCTTGCTCCGATGACCTGTTCCTGTTCTGATCACCTGTCTGTACTGACCACCTGTTTGTACTGAATACCCCAGTTACTGACCTATATTCTGACCCCCTGGTGTAGGAACCTGATGAACTTGGTTCACAATGTATTTCATTTTGATGATGCTTATGTAGCTGAGTTACTAAAGATTAAAATGACAACAACTGGGTTAATTTATTTACTTAGAGTTATAAGAAAAAAAAGTTACATGTAATTTACCAATTGTTGAAGAGAAAAACATTATCAGGGTTGACCAAGGGTCTTGCTCCAAAGGGAGGTCTATTTTTGTTGGACTCTTTACAGTTCACATGGGTATTGCTGCAAGTCTGACGCAGGTCAGCCAGGGAAAGTATCTGTACTTTCAGTATAGGAAGTCTAGCCTTTCTTAACAGATTTCTTAACAGGACACTCATCTGGAAGCAAAATTAAATCAAGTTTTGTCTATTTTTTTGTTTTTAATCAGATAATTATTCAAAATAGTTTATTATAAGTAGAACAACTGTAACTACCTGTATATTAGATCTGTGCATTACCAGGTGGGTGGCAGTGTACATGTAGTAGAATCTGATGAATTTATGTAAATAGATGAAAACCAACAAGTCAGAGTTACCATAGCCTACAAGTCTAAAGGGTTCACACTATCTATCTGCATTTTTTTCTGTCTTCATCGTTTCAATAATGATTGACACAATGAAAAAAAATAACTGCAGAGAGATGGTCAGAACTCTTTGGACTTGTAGGCTATGGTAAAATCAAGTCTGAAACTTTAATGATTAGATCTATAGATCTTTTAAAAATTAAAATGCTGCACCAGACCAATTATCAAACACAAAAAATGGTTTTTAGCTGTTTAATCTGAATACTTATCAGTGATTTAAATTGTGTAATCTTGGGAGAGATATTTCATGTACATTTCCAGCTGTAACAAATTCAAGGTAGTTCCTGTTATGTTTTCCACAGGATGTTAAATAACACTGGTGTAATGGCAAACACCGATGAAAATTTGAACATTTATTGTAACACCCTATTAAGATATCAAACATTTACATTGTTGTAGTGATGTCATTCTATATAATGATATTCGAACCTCTTATGTATGTACACATACACAAAAAACTGATAAGTCAATATTGTTGCGAAAATACACAAAATAAATGAATTCATTTTGAAGTATGCACATTTTTCAGGAACCAGTGTTTATTTTGACAGTTGTCTAGCACAGCAGAGCCGACTGTGCAGTTATCTGCTTGAATTCATATCAATTACCACAGCCTTGTTTCAGAGCTTTTATGATTAGGAAAGTGTGTACATTTCATATTTATCATGTGTCATGAGTGAATAAATTGGTTGTTTTGTGGAATGAGAACCAAAAAAACAATAAGCGTTTGAGCACTGGTCATGTTTGTCTAAATAGCTACCTGATGATACAATAAAGACTGTCCTATACTATGTAGTATCTCGCCGTGTGAACAGCTTACATTGTTGAAGTAGGTCAAGGCTTGATCTGATAATTGTATGAAACAAGTAAACAGTTCTGATCTAAAGAACAATATTAGGGGAAGTCTTCTGTGGTATGTATATACATCACATATACGTCATGGCTACACGATAAAAACAAGTTCAAGTGTTTCTATTTCAAAATGATTCTGAATTTGAGTAATTAACTACTCAAACCAGTAACTATCCCTAAAATGAAGGACTATTACCCATATGCGGGATTTTGCCCAACCTGACTAACGTTGATGGAGGGATGTGATTGTTCCCCGTCAAAACAGATCAGAAGATAGCTAGGCTTCAGCAGACTGTTTTACCCTAGCCTACATCTCTATTCAAACATACCATGCGTTATGTTCAAACACGTTTTTGGGGTCCGTTAAGAGACGATTTCCAAACTGGGGCCTTGCTGCCCCTTCGGCTGCATCATTGTTACTACTAGATTCCTGCATGTCGTAGTTCAGCACATGTTCAACACTGTAGCTTGTTTCACAACATTTTCTTGTGTGACACCAATACACGCGTGTTGTGGTCGACGTCAGTGAGAAGTTCACTTCGGATATATTCAAAACAAACGCCCATCTGATACAGATGATATTTCTAAGTTTAAGTCCGTGACGGGCTATAAATCCGACAAAACATTTTTTTTCTAACTGTTTGGAGATATTTCTTTATGAGAGGCCAAACCGACATTGATTAATAAAGCAATGTTGACTCTGTACGAAAAATGTACAAGATATCTAATTTACCAGATCAGACATATCATTCACTTAACTCATTTTAACAAAAGGCTGATATTCAACGACAAAGATATCTTAATTAATATTCTTTGAAATATCATATTATTTAAAAATAAGATATCTCACTTATGAAATGAGATATTTTATTAAGCGAATTAGAATAGAAATATCATCTCTCAAAATAAAATATGTAAACTAGATATCACATTAACTATAAATAGTCTATTCTTTATAGATCTAAACTCATTAACAAAATATTAAATCACATATCTTATTTCATGATTTGAATTTTGAGATAATGAACCTCACTTAGAAGATCTGATCGAAAGTTCCGACGTTAACAGGCAGAATGATCACTGGCGGCAACGGAATCAAACATCTATGAGCCCAATGCCGAGATATTGACGGGTACGTAAGGTGTGTGATTATTTTCTGTCCTTCTATATCTACTGCTACATGTAATTATAGTATTTATAAAAGTGATTGATCAGCCAATTGTGATGTCATCAGCTAAGTTAAACGATGCTGTAGCATTCACCCTGGAACGAATAGGTGAAGAGAGTCATCACAGATGACGTCAGATTGAGAATGAATAGTTTTTTTAACTTCGAAGATTCATAATTATACTGTCTATTCATGCCAGTGCTAGTGTTGTACAGTATGTCTGATGGTAGTTATATACTGTCTATTCATGCCCAGTACTAGTGTTGTACAGTATATATATATGTCTGATGGTAGTTATATACTGTCTATTCATGCCCAGTACTAGTGTTGTACAGTATATATATATGTCTGATGGTAGTTATATACTGTCTATTCATGCCCAGTACTAGTGTTGTACAGTATATATATATATATGTCTGATGGTAGTTATATACTGTCTATTCATGCCCAGTACTAGTGTTGTACAGTATATATATATATATATATGTCTGATGGTAGTTATATACTGTCTATTCATGCCCAGTACTAGTGTTGTACAGTATATATATATGTCTGATGGTAGTTATATACTGTCTATTCATGCCCAGTACTAGTGTTGTACAGTATATATATATATATATGTCTGATGGTAGTTATATACTGTCTATTCATGCCCAGTACTAGTGTTGTACAGTATATATATATATGTCTGATGGTAGTTATATACTGTCTATTCATGCCCAGTACTAGTGTTGTACAGTATATATATATATGTCTGATGGTAGTTATATACTGTCTATTCATGACCAGTACTAGTGTTGTACAGTATGTCTGATGGTAGTTATATACTGTCTATTCATGACCAGTGCTAGTGTTGTACAGTATATATATATATGTCTGATGGTAGTTATATACTGTCTATTCATGCCCAGTGCTAGTGTTGTAAAGTATGTCTGATGGTAGTTATATACTGTCTATTCATGACCAGTACTAGTGTTGTACAGTATGTCTGATGGTAGTTATATACTGTCTATTCATGACCAGTACTAGTGTTGTATAGTATGTCTGATGGTAGTTATATACTGTCTATTCATGACCAGTGCTAGAGTTGTACAGTATGTCTGATGGTAGTTATATACTGTCTATTCATGACCAGTACTAGTGTTGTATAGTATGTCTGATGGTAGTTATATACTGTCTATTCATGACCAGTACTAGTGTTGTATAGTATGTCTGATGGTAGTTATATACTGTCTATTCATGACCAGTACTAGTGTTGTATAGTATGTCTGATGGTAGTTATATACTGTCTATTCATGCCCAGTGCTAGTGTTGTAAAGTATGTCTGATGGTAGTTATATACTGTCTATTCATGACCAGTGCTAGTGTTGTATAGTATGTATATGTCTGATGGTAGTTATATACTGTCTATTCATGACCAGTACTAGTGTTGTACAGTATGTCTGATGGTAGTTATATACTGTCTATTCATGACCAGTACTAGTGTTGTACAGTATGTCTGATGGTAGTTATATACTGTCTATTCATGACCAGTACTAGTGTTGTAAAGTATATATATATATGTCTGATGGTAGTTATATACTGTCTATTCATGCCCAGTGCTAGTGTTGTAAAGTATGTCTGATGGTAGTTATATACTGTCTATTCATGACCAGTACTACCGTTGTATAGTATGTATATGTCTGACGGTAGTTATATACTGTCTATTCATGCCCAGTGCTAGTGTTGTACAGTATGTCTGATGGTAGTTATATACTGTCTATTCATGCCCAGTACTAGTGTTGTAGTATATATATATGTCTGACTAGTGTTGTGGTAGTTATATATACTGTCTATTCATGACCAGTACTAGTGTTGTATAGTATGTATATGTCTGATGGTAGTTATATACTGTCTATTCATGACCAGTACTAGTGTTGTACAGTATATATATATATGTCTGATGGTAGTTATATACTGTCTATTCATGACCAGTACTAGTGTTGTATAGTATGTATATGTCTGATGGTAGTTATATACTGTCTATTCATGCCCAGTACTAGTGTTGTACAGTATATATATATATGTCTGATGGTAGTTATATACTGTCTATTCATGACCAGTACTAGTGTTGTACAGTATGTCTGATGGTAGTTATATACTGTCTATTCATGACCAGTACTAGTGTTGTATAGTTTGTCTGATTGTAGTTATATACTGTCTATTCATGCCCAGTACTAGTGTTGTACAGTATATATATATATGTCTGATGGTAGTTATATACTGTCTATTCATGCCCAGTACTAGTGTTGTACAGTATATATATATATGTCTGATGGTAGTTATATACTGTCTATTCATGCCCAGTACTAGTGTTGTAGTATATATATATATGTCTGATGGTAGTTATATACTGTCTATTCATGTATATATATATATATGTCTGATGGTAGTTATATACTGTCTATTCATGCCCAGTACTAGTGTTGTACAGTATATATATATATGTCTGATGGTAGTTATATACTGTCTATTCATTCATGTCTATTCATGCCCAGTACTAGTGTTGTACAGTATATATATATATGTCTGATGGTAGTTATATACTGTCTATTCATGACCAGTACTAGTGTTGTTAGTCATATATATATGTCTAGTGTTATATGTACAGTATATATATATATATGTCTGATGGTAGTTATATACTGTCTATTCATGACCAGTACTAGTGTTGTACAGTATATATATATATGTCTGATGGTAGTTATATACTGTCTATTCATGCCCAGTAATAGTGTTGTACAGTATATATATATATGTCTGATGGTAGTTATATACTGTCTATTATAGTATATATATATATGTCTGATGGTAGTTATATATGCCCAGTACTAGTGTTGTACAGTATGTCTGATGGTAGTTATATACTGTCTATTCATGCCCAGTACTAGTGTTGTACAGTATATATATATATGTCTGATGGTAGTTATATACTGTCTATTCATGCCCAGTACTAGTGTTGTACAGTATATATATATGTCTGATGGTAGTTATATACTGTCTATTCATGACCAGTACTACCGTTGTATAGTATGTATATGTCTGACGGTAGTTATATACTGTCTATTCATGCCCAGTGCTATACAGTATGTCTGATGGTAGTTATATACTGTCTATTCATGCCCAGTACTAGTGTTGTACAGTATATATATATGCCTGATGGTAGTTATATACTGTCTATTCATGACCAGTACTAGTGTTGTATAGTATGTATATGTCTGACGGTAGTTATATACTGTCTATTCATGACCAGTACTAGTGTTGTACAGTATGTCTGATGGTAGTTATATACTGTCTATTCATGACCAGTACTAGTGTTGTATAGTATGTATATGTCTGATGGTAGTTATATACTGTCTATTCATGACCAGTACTAGTGTTGTACAGTATGTCTGATGGTAGTTATATACTGTCTATTCATGACCAGTACTAGTGTTGTATAGTATGTATATGTCTGACGGTAGTTATATACTGTCTATTCATGCCCAGTACTAGTGTTGTACAGTATATATATGTCTGATGGTAGTTATATACTGTCTATTCATGACCAGTACTAGTGTTGTATAGTATGTATATGTCTGACGGTAGTTATATACTGTCTATTCATGACCAGTACTAGTGTTGTACAGTATGTCTGATGGTAGTTATATACTGTCTATTCATGACCAGTACTAGTGTTGTATAGTATGTATATGTCTGATGGTAGTTATATACTGTCTATTCATGACCAGTACTAGTGTTGTATAGTATGTATATGTCTGACGGTAGTTATATACTGTCTATTCATGCCCAGTACTAGTGTTGTACAGTATGTCTGATGGTAGTTATATACTGTCTATTCATGACCAGTACTAGTGTTGTATAGTATGTATATGTCTGATGGTAGTTATATACTGTCTATTCATGCCCAGTACTAGTGTTGTACAGTATATATATATATATGTCTGATGGTAGTTATATACTGTCTATTCATGCCCAGTACTAGTGTTTTACAGTATATATATATATGTCTGATGGTAGTTATATACTGTCTATTCATGCCCAGTACTAGTGTTGTACAGTATATATATATGTCTGATGGTAGTTATATACTGTCTATTCATGCCCAGTACTAGTGTTGTACAGTATATATATATATGTCTGATGGTAGTTATATACTGTCTATTCATGCCCAGTACTAGTGTTGTACAGT